CATTTTTCATGCTATACATTTAAATAAGCACTTGTCAACTATAAACTAAAATTTTTCTATTTGCACCTTATATAATATTATTTGCTTCATTTTTCCTTTTAATTTTTAAGCTTTTTTTTATATCATATAATCTCTTCACTGGCATACCTTTAATCACAACCTACAATAGTAAAAAATATATATAGACATTTTGAATAAAGTTGCATCATTTTATCTTTCAATCTAAAGCGCAATGCATACAACTGACTTTTGTCTGTGAAACATTGTTTCGTGTGTGTTAGCACAAAACATTGTTTTTTGTTTCAAGAAACATTTGTTTGAAAATCAAACTTGTTTGAATTCTGAACAAATGCTTCGAGTCTGTTGTGTGCATTGAATAAAAACATTTTTTCGAAATATATTCTGTCCTCAACCAATCAACATAATTATATCTCATCACATGAAATAAAATATATTTAAATCTTGAGGTCATGTGTAAAAGCGACATATGCAATGTAAAAATGTAAATGACCCCCCTCCAAATTGACAATCCCTTTTAATCCCTTTCAGTAATAAATGGGCAAAATGGCCTTCATTTTCAGCACATAGCCTTAAACAATATTATTTCAACTTATTCTTCATGTTAATTAGCTCTCTGTTTGCATCAAGTGTAATTCATGCCATTCATCCATGATTTTGTAATTTTGGTTTACTATTATCTTCTGACAGGTAGCATTCATAATGCCTTTCAAAAAACAGTAAATATACTTACTTTCATGTGGTGATAGTAACAAGCATAGTTCTACTTCTTGTAGGAAAGGTCTAACCTGAAAAAAACACAATATAGATTTTAGAATTGTAAATTAGCACAAGCTAAACAAAAACTAAGGAATATGTGAAATGAAAATATGTAAGTATGTAAAGATCCATCATCTTCATCTCATATTGAATGCAATATTTAGTAATTGCAAATGTAGAAATGAAATGAATGGAGTTTAACGTCCTACTTTTCTGCACCATGTGGGCTACTAAAGACAGGCAACACCATGCAGGGTGCAATGAGGGAAATTTTGCCAGGACGGCGGCATTAGCCTGCTCTTTTTCGATTTTCGGTCAAGGGATCTTTAACGTCCATAGCCTGTAGCACACGGGGCCTCGGTTTATTGTCGCATCCGAAAGACTAGACGCTCTTTCCATGTCAGCCCTCAAATGTAGAGGTGGCAATTAATTTATTAGTACTAATGAGCTCAACCTTTCCTGTGATTCCTGAATTAATATTTATCTGTCCTCTCACATACATAAAATTCAACTTCTCTAACTGCTAGAGAATCTTCAAAGTTGAATATTATATATGTGAGAGTCTAGCATATCAATGGTCTTAACAAAATGACTTCTAATCAAAAGTTTAATGATGGGCTTGATATGTGACCTCTTACTAAAATTCTCAAGCTGGTCAGGATCAAAATTAAAGATCTGAGAATGAGGCACAGGTCTGTATCAGAATTGGCACTCTACAATTAACACTGTTACTGACCAGTGAACTTCTCCGTCTATAATGAACTTGGTATTGAATTTTTCATCTCATTTTACAAATATTCAAAATAAAATTTGCAAGTGTACTTATAGAGGTATATCTCCTGTCTTAGAATTTCCTTGGTTCCAAAGAAATATAAGGTTCATATGAAATAAACACAATTATTTTTTTCCCCAAATATTTCCTGCAAGACATTTCGGACTGAAATTGCTCTTTGTAAACCATATTTCTGAATAATCATTTTTAAATGTCTGGCAGTTTCTTCAACCCACATGCAATATAAGATTCTCAGTCATATTTTTAAATTGATATTTTAATTCATAAGATTTAGTGATGAAATTCAATTGTGTAAACATTTGACAGATTTGAAGGAGTTTTGGCAGCCAAGGGAGTTCAGGTTTCCTCTTGTCAGTAATTCAGCAATTTGAAACGACCAAAATCTGAACCACAGTTTTTTGTACGTATGAAATAAGCCAGTTCAGAACTAAGCTTATAAATGCACATTTGCAAAAAGCCTAATTCATACTTTTGTCTTTAAATAAACAATGTTAATTTACTAAGACGGTTTATGGAAAAGGATACAACAGGTTTACTATTAATAGTACTCAGATACATTTACAATTGTCAGACTCATGATATACTCTTTGAACTGAACATTCTTACTTGCTTTCCATAATGTTCTAAGAGATAAATGGATTAACTGTAAATGTAGTGAACCCTTCGCGTAACATCCTCTTCCATCGACTGCCATAGTAAATAGACGTGGTTTATCCCAAGACAGTTGGGAATGTGCATGTTGCACATGCGCATGTATAATGCCGAACTGGCTTATTTGAATGTATTTTGGGCCCTTTGCTAGATTTACTTCAAGATCAAGTGAGACAGCCCAGATCTAATTTCATGCAAATTAGAATTCATTTGCATAAGACGATTTTACAAAATCGTACCTAAGTCACATCGCCCAATTTATTACACGATCTAAATCAATTATTTTATATTTTATAATATTGTAAATTTCAGCACTCTCAGCGGTCAAGTAACAATGTACCCCCGAGGCCTAGCAACAATAGCGTGGTATAACCAGTGGCCCATGATTAAATGCCTGGTAAAGCCAGTGGTCCAGAAAAAGTAGGCCTCTAGAGCTTTGTAAAACCACTGAGTCAGTAGGCCTAACACCAGCCTAGCGGCCTACCGAAAGCCTGGTAGAACCAGTATCCTAGAAACAAGACCCTGGTATGGCCAGTGGCCTAGAAACAAGACCCTGCTAGGACCAGTGGCCTAGAAACAAGACCCTGGTATGGCCAGTGGCCTAGAAACAAGACCCTGGTATGGCCAGTTGCCTAGAAACAAGACCCCAGTATGGCCTGTGGATAGAAACAAGACCCCGGTATGGCCAATGGTCTGGTAACAAAACCCCGGTACTATCAGAGATCCGGTAACAGTAGCCTGGTTATACTACTGGCCCTGGTACTATCAGTGGCCTAGTAAGAATACCCAGGTACTACCTGAGGTCTAGTAACAATACCCAGGTACTACCAGAGGTCTAGTAACAATACCCAGGTACTACCAGAGGTCTAGTAACAATACGCAGGTACCACCAGAAGTCTAGTAACAATACCCAGGTACTACCAGAGGTCTAGTAACAATACCCAGGTTCTACCAGAGGTCTAGTAGCAATACGCAGGTACTGCCAGAGGTCTAGTGACAATACCCAGGTACTACCAGAGGTCTAGTAACAATACCCAGGTACTACCAGAGGTCTAGTAACAATACCCAGGTACTACCAGAGGTCTTGTAGCAATACCCAGGCACTACCAGAGGTCTAGTAACAATCCCCAGGTACTACCAGAGGTCTAGGAGCAATACCCAGGCACTACCAGAGGTCTTGTAACAATCCCCAGGTACTACCAGAGGTCTGGGAGCAATACCCAGGCACTACCAGAGGTCTAGTAACAATACCCAGGTACTACCAGAGGTCTCGTATAAATACCCAGGTACTACCAGAGGTCTAGTATCAATACCCAGGTACTACAAGAGGTCTAGTAACAATACCTAGGCACTACCTGAGGTTTAGTTACAATAGCCATGTCTTGGTAACTCCGCCGAGGCAAAAGGAATGCCGGGTCTAGGTATAACCATGAAATTATGAATATATTTTTCTATTATTAATTTTAACCTTTGTTAGCTGTTGGCAGCAGTATTATTGTTAGCCTTTGTTAGCTGCTGCGAGCAGTGGGTTATTATTAACGTGATAGCCTTTGTTAGCTGGTCATAGCAACTAACATTTACCTCTGAAGGCGGAAAGGCGCCTTTGTTATGTTATAAGCAGTAATAGCCACTAACAACTTCTTGAAAGAATCAACTAATAATAGGCGAATCGGGTGAAAGCAGTGTTTATCTTAATCTCTTCCTAAATATGAAAGAATTTATCGACGGTTATTGTTTAGCTTAAATTTTGACTTAATATATTTCATAATCCTTCATTTTTTATTCCCTTCTGTAATCTTTTCCTGAACAGATTTTTTATATGCTTAAAGATTTTGCCAATATTAAATTTGAACCCTGGGGAGATATACTGTAGTTCATCTTCATCTAAGTGGTAAGACATTCGTAAGGATGGGCGCCTTCAAAACATTCGCTGAAAATTGACCGATCAAAAGGTGGAATATGATTTGTGAACGTTCCGAATTTGTTACCAACGCTTACGAAGACGAAGTGAATGTTGCAAAGTTTGGGCGATTGTCATATACTTCAATTCGTTAGCACGTTCGCCAGCATATTCGCCACAGTGTGAAACCAGCATTTACATTTAACAGTTTGGTGTAGCATTTCAAGATACACTTTAAGTTTGCTTGTTCTTAAATTAACTTCACCATTTAGATACCCTGACATATGCATGCCGACAAATAGGCTTTGATTATATTATTGTGCTTTTGTAATAGAAAATCAGAACCAAAATTCTTTGTTCACTTTGTGTCTGATCTTTTAATACAGAATAACTGAATGTCTTTAACCTTTAAAGAGTGGACAGAATTCAACTATAAATGGCACTTCACTTCGTGATAGAGATGTTCAATGGTGGTTCCTTTGGTGAAATTGATTAGCAGAGGTTCGTGGAATTAACATTCAAATCTCATCAGATGGATTAGAATATTAATGTATATCTACGCTAAGGTCAAGACAAGATTATTGCCCATGAAAACTACTAAAGCAGTGTTTATCATAATCTCTTCTTCAAAATCAAAGAATTTATCGACGGTTATTGTTTAGCTTTAATTTTAGCTTAATATATTTCTTGATCCTTCATTGTTTACTTCCTTCCGTTATTGATAGAAATCTTTTCTTAACAGATTTTTTATATGCTTAAAGATTTTGCCAATATTAAATTTGAACCTTGGGGAGATATACTGTAGTACATCTTTGGTGATATAAATCCTGTCTTAATATATGACAGACCATTCAATTGGAAACTCTCAAACGATATATAATGAATTTAGGAATAAGTTTTGTGATGTTACTTACAAATTGGACGCTCCGAGATATTCCTGCCGTAGAAAATATTGGATCAGCATTGAAGTGTGCGTTTTTAACAAGAACAGCCTGTAAATCATCATTTGTTTACAATGAATTTAGTAAACAGTGTACTATAAATCCACAATTGATACCATCGATAAAAAATATGACGTTTTCTCCAGGCTCTGTATATTTCTTTAGTAAAGGTAAGTACGTGTACATAATATGGTAAAGGTAAGTGCGTGTACATGTTAAGATGGTGAAGGTAAGTATGTGTACAAGTTAAAACAATAAAGGTAAGTACGTAAGTAAGTGTACTAAGCTACACTCTTTAGGATACACTTCTAGGAGGAACTGGAAGAATATTCATCTGTATTTAATATCCCAGTAGGGCGAAAAACATGATATTACCACGACGTAGTGTGATCTGTATTTCTATTGACCTACCCGATGAACTTTGAAGAAGTTCAGTAATGATTAGGTTTCCATATTCCGCTTGACTAATTTTTTCGCGTTCATGTTGGAAATTGTCACCAGACGCTTTTTCCATAAACAATGATTTGGACATCTTACTAAAAACATTTCTTGAATATACCATCTACACTTTTCGACACATTTTAATAAATAAAAGATAATGTAGATGCTTTCTTCGTAAATTACCTTCATTTTGAATGTAGTATTAATTGAATATATATTAACGAACAACGATTTTTATTACAGCTCCATCATTTTGTAAAGATATTCAAGGATGCCAAACAGTTTATTATGATGGTGAATATTGGTTATATCCTGACGCATATAATAATACAATTGAAACTAAAATATATTGTCACGATATGATGACGGATTCACCAAAGGAATACCTGACATTGCATGCACCAAATTCTGTCGAAAGCCCAAAAGGACAGTACGTTTCTTCATCATGTACCTTGAATACGAGGGTATGGTCAGTAACGGGAAAAACAGAATTTTTGAAGATAGGAATAAATCCAGAGGTTAGTGAATAAGTTTTAAATATTGAATCTTAGTTTAAAGGTAAAGATTATAATTCCAGACGTTTTTTAATAAGTAAAGATGCTGAACGATTTCCTTCCGCTGGTTTAAATCGGCATTAAGAGGTGGAGATAATCTAACAGTGGATAGCTCTGGCCGATTTCAAGTCCAGATCATATAAGGAAATCATGATGCGTTTCTTTTACCAATTTCCTGATCTGACGTCTTTTATACAAATTATGACATCTGTATATGAACAATTCTTTTCCTGTAGGTATAACCTTTAGTCCATGAGGTCACGAGTTCGCCTATTATATAAATGAAAATGTAACCTGAATGCGTCTTTGTGAATTTCGAATCCTTGGAACTCGATCTGTCCTGATAAGTACTTCGATTGTTTCATCGTTTCGAATTCGATTTGTAATCTCAATGCTAATCTAATTGCTTCGTTATCATTCATCTAATGGTTTTGCTGCGGAATGCGAGCTGTTACCACTTCAAAACTTGTAAAGGAGTGAAAACTTTAATAATTGAATATGTATTTAAATCTATAGATATACATATCTTATAATTGGCAGTCAAACAAACCTGGAAAAATTTGTCGGATGTTGTAAGACATTTGAAAAAAAATATCATTTAGTTTTTCATTTGGTTCATGGTATACAATTTACAATCGACAAAATATTATCTCCACATTTTAAGGTAATTTTATTCATTATTTGTAGACAATGACCATTGACCCTGAAGACTATCGATTTACCAATCAGGTTTATGGAAAATCAAGACCCTATGGTCTTGCGTTTGGATGTTCCTTGTCGTTTAAGACATGTCCACTAAGAGCTAATGCAATATTAAATATCAAGCTGACTGGCCTTGTATTCGATCCTCCGGTAAGTTGTATACATCAACAAGATCAAGGCTTTGGTGAAACGAAAAGCTGAGCTCCTGACAAACTCAGACTGAACCCGTAGATTGCAAGAAAGGAATGGACTTTACGTGCTGGGACATTTTATGAGGACAGCGGCATTGGACTACACTTTTTCGAGTGACATTTACGTCCACACTCTGTAGCACACAGGGCCCCGGTTAAGTGCCCCATCCGAAGAGCGACACGTTTTTTACATGTCAGCCCCTCTGAGCGGCACGACACACAATGACAAACCGGTTGAAAAATACTCAAGCATCAAACTCACTGAGCCGTCGTTTCATTTTCACTCATAGTAGTGGACTGGCAACGCACTAATTGTAGACACCTGAACTTCCATGGCGTTTGATATTATATACATCAAAGAAGCAGTAGAAACTGTTAAAATTGAAATTTGCAGCAACTTCCAACAAAATATTAGTGAAGCACATCGTTCTGGTTTTTTTTTTGTTCTAATGAAATGATTATTTATAGAATGAGTGGGTGGCATATAAATTCACCGGTAAAATGCAAATGCAGGTCAAAACTGACCACGAAGTAAGACTACTGGGCGATGGGTATTGTGGTGGTGCGATACATGAAGGCCCAATCAAATTACAACCAGACGCCAACTATAGTGAGTCTTTTACAATTATTTTTGAAAAACGGTTTATTTATATACTGTGGATTGGCACAGTTATTGTTTTTTGGTTCAAAAACATGTCAAAATCTGTTGGATAGAGAGATATTTAATAGAAACATATAGTCCAGTCCCGTTATTTCGATGACGTAAGTGAATTTGAATAATATTTTTAATAGCAACCATTCGTTCCATCTTTCAATTACAGGGCCACCAATATATTCAGCAAAGGAATTATAAATAGTCTGCAAAAAACACCACGGACTCATAACCATTTTATAATTAATTGACGATTAAGGACCTTTATTTATTTAGTTGAAGTATAATTCTTGGTGAGCGGAAGTCCGGTATAAAAATTGTTGCCTATGTAGCTATCTATATTTCACATAACTCTTTTAATCAACGGAGATAAAAAGTTAAAAAACAGTTTAAATAGAGTGTTCGACTATTCGTGCGTCAAGTTATTGACTTGACTTTATGGAAAAGAAGATGAAATATTTTGGACAGTTGATGTGTTGGTGAAGAGTGTCAAGAAAGAGTGATAGTCTGAAGACATTGATAAAGGAGGGGTATGAAGTGTTTATATTAGACAGGAATGATATGACAAGTGTTTGTATATACCCGGCATGATATGGACGGAATTCCTAGATATCGCTGAAGATCAATGTTGTTTTAGGAGAGGTATTGTGTTAAATGATCCAATGTTTAACATTGACATAACGTTAGATATTGTTTTCAATGTTTTTATCACTCTTCCAGATTTCCTTTTCACAGAGATGCCACCACTACTACAAGGGATAAATCCATAACTGACCAATTTGACTTTTCAACGTTTAAATAGTTTGGAATATGTTACATTTAACAATTTAATCCTGCATTTCATACCGTTACACTTCGCGTTTGCTTGTGACCAACCTGATCCCTATTAATGCTTCTTGCATCATAATTTAATCGTTGATAATACCTTCGGTAAATAGGATGCACTGAAGTTTGAAGTATGCCTACGGGTAATAGTTGGATTGTTTTTAGTTCTTAAATTAACAAATAACAGTCGATTACATAATTGTGTTTCTGTAATTAAAATCATAACCAAACTTCTTTGTTCACTTTGTGTCTGACCTTTGAATACAGAATAACTGAATGTCATTAACCTCTCATGAGTGGACAGAATTCAACTATAAATGGATCTTGAAAGGCGTTCGTGATGACATCCGCGCTCGATTATTTTAATCTGTTCTAAAATATATCTTGAAGGTGTTTAAAATTCAGTCAATACCAGTTGAAGTCACAATTTGATTATATAAGGGACTAGACGGAAATCAAATAAGTTTTAGAATAAATTGCTGAATATTTTTACGACTTAATCTTTCAGTCTGGCATTGGGTTTATAAAAATAGAAAAAAATGAAAGTGGGTAAATATTGTGGTGTCAACAAGATAAGTTATTGACAGAAATAAAGAAGATAGATTCAACTCCTCTATTAATTTTATAGCTTAGTATTTATCACCAATTTAAAATATGGAGTCGTAATGGCTCGCCGTTTAGGCCAAGTCCGCGGGTTTTCCAAATTTAATTCTTCATGTCGACCGCTTTTATTTGCTATTGGTCTGTGGGGGCTTTAAGTGCTCCCTTAACATCACTCTCCGCCTTCAAAAGGCAAGAAATGGGACAACACTGAATTTTAAAATTACAGTGGCTCCTTATGAAGATATATGGTATACTATTACTTGTATACTAAGTTACTATCTAGTCAATATTAAAGATCTAATGTAATCAATGTTGATGACCATCCCATAACGTGATGTGACTAAATTAACTGACCAACTACTATTATCACCCGCTGGTCCTCTGATAATTACTCTACTAGGTTAAAAGTTTCTTGCTTAAAATGTATGGGATTATCCCACTTCATCTGGTCCAGTTTCTGTAAGTCCATCCAGCCTTTCTATATTGACTGAGAACATCAAGAACACCTTGATAAGATTAACAGAAACTACTGCTATTTCGTTTAACTTTTAACACCGTCTACTATTTTTCTGACAAATCTGAATAAATTGTCAACAAGTCATATAGCAGCAGACGAAGTGAACATTTAATATGTTTATGTATTGACTACGTTTGATGGCTGACACAAACTTGGTCTGCTGAATACATTTAATTTTCGTAATCCGAAGAATAATTGCAATTGACTTCCAATTGACAACATCAATATTGAATGTTAAACAGAAGTGAGATGTTGACTATTCAGTATTCTCAAATCCGATTTAACGTACGACCACAAAAAGGCAGTTGATTACAAAATATGACTGTTTTAGTTGATGTTTGTTGATGTTCATCTTAGAAAATTTTATTTACTCTCCTTAACCAGGAAAATCATTTTTAAGTCTTTTAGTCTCCCGCAATGTTTAATATACGACAGCTATTTCTAGGTTTATGATGCTATTTATTTCTACTTCTGTCTTGTAAGGAATGAAACTCACGTATCGTCTGTTACTTAATCTCAGTACGAGGCTTCCTTCTAAACATAGGATTCAGACCACAAGTAAACAAAATAAACCTTAAAAATATGACAATGTCTACAGTTTGAACAATATCTGGATTGATTAAAACAGACGTTTATCTTAATGTATCCAGTAACTAAACTTCATGTTACAGAACATTACAGGCTTCAACTGAAATGGAAGTCAAAGTCTGATAGATTGTATACCATCACTGCAGGATTCAACAACATTTACAACAACGTGTATACTATTTAATGCTGACGATACTTTTTGTTCGATAGAAAAATATGGAATGGAGTTAAACAAATTGAATGTGTTATGGGTGTCTGAATGTATAATCTCGATAACTTAAACCGATTAACTATCTTTAAATTTAAAAAGAGTATCAGACACTGTGTGATAGTTTCTGTAATTTCGCAAGAATTCAATAGTAAACGACCATTCTGACAGGTTCATGGGCGTTAGAAAGTGCATTAAGGCCTAACAGAACATCGAAAAAGAAACGTCGACAACTATTACTTACCATTAAAGAACCTTGATTTAAAATAGCTTCTAGATTATTAGCCGGGATAGATCCTAATTGACTCAAGGTATATTGCATCGTTTATTATCGTATCTAGGTTAATTTACTTGTTATTCAATCACGCTATCTATGTCTTAAGTGACATCTGACATTCTACAAGTTTCACCCTGAGACATTTTAACCATTATAGTGAATTCACTACCCACATTTAGTCAACGTGCAGACGATGACAGATGCACATGACGTGATACACGACAATTTGAGTATAATTCAGATACGTTTTGTTTCTCTTTGTGCTTCGAGTCATTTTTGGATCATGCGTGTCCGAAGTACCATTCATTTAATATTTCACAACTTATATGACAATATACCCTCTCTGTTTAAAGGTCATTTCCCTATTGTACCCTGCATAGCATTGCCCGCCTTCATTAGCCCACATGGTGCAGAAAAGAGGGATATAAAACTCAAATCAATTCATTTCAAGGTGACACTGGAAAAGGGAACTAAAATTTACTATTAAATCTATGCAATTGATGGATAATGCATTACATTGTTCTCTATTACCGATGGCAAGGTTAGATTTACAATAACCATAGAGTAAACACTCAACCCACATACTGGCTGTTAAAATGTTTATACACTTAGACTTGATGCCAAAAACTAGCCTGATACAGAATAAAAATTTCTGACTAAAAAAAGAAATCCATAAAAATCATTGCCTAAATAAACACTTCTACCTAGCCAGGTTTCTATTGTCATTTTGTTATCTCTTAAAAGGTTCCCAATAGTTAGTGCAGAGTGCTATTTGTATAATTATCTACATTTATTAATTGAATAATGAGTTATATTCATTCAGGACTATTATAACAGTTAGCATCAATATGTACACTGGGAATGCATTATTAAAAGAGTCAAGTCAAATAATGACTTTAAAGGATGAATGGTTACACAGATTGTCGATCTGAGTGTCCATTATATTTCAGTTAGCGAACCTCTTAAATTACGAGATAACATTCGGTACGTTAAAATTACACTTTCATGGCTTTCAGGCCACATTAAAAAAAAAAAACAAAAAAAAACTGGATTACTATTTATTCGTTAATCGTTCTGCTACTATCTTCGCTAAACATCAAAAGGATTATCGGATTTGTCTTAAATCGAAGTATATGTTTTTAAAAGTGATGTTGGTGGCAAGCATAGAAATACATAAGCTATAATTAGAAAATTTTCAAAGCAATATCCCATCAAGTATTTGATAAGCATCAATAATAAGAAGCAATGTATGTATATATAATTTAGATGAATACTAATATTAGTCAAAGTGTAAAATCACAGGGTATTAAGGGTGTTTATGATGACATTAACATGGTCAGTAATAATAAAGATAAATAAATCAGTAGACCACTGGCCCAACTGTCGTATATTACCATAAAACTTTATCGATATACTCTGTGATTAGGCTGATAGAAATGTTCAATTTCATCATGAAGTGTGTATTCGTGAAATGCAATAGGAAGCTCCAGCTAAGGTAACAGAAAAGAAGCCCACACAAAATGGTTCAGAGCATCTTTCAAGGTTTATCTCATATTCCTTGACAGCATACACATACAAAAGCATATTAATCCTCCAATTATATTTTCAATGAAAAGTGATGAGAGAATTGGGATTGTTCTGCAAACTTTTACATTTAGAAAATGCGGGTTGTTATAGTCAGCGAACTCATCTGCATTTCCATCACCACAAGAGACTTGGTTGTTACATGTAAACAAATCAAATGTGCAGTTTCTGAAACTTTCATCTGGATTTATCTGTCAAAAAAGCTATAACAAGCGTTTGTGATACTCTCAGAAATCAGAACATACAATATATCTTTTTTAGTCTATACTAATGTTATGCAATCTTCAATACAATATTATCGATTCTATTAATCTCTGCAAACAACACCTTCATTGACGCTGCTGTACAATGTAGAGTGTTTGGTGTAAAGTGGTGGTTATTGGTTAATATTATATACATGCATGACTCTTGTACTCCATTAACTAGATTAAGGACCGACCTAGACATGTATTATTCCTGGTTTAATGGTATAATAACAATACATGTATGCCCAAATATTGCATTGTTTAATACTAGCTTCTGTATCAAAATCAAATCAACACGACATCACGTTAGCTATACTTCATAAAAAAACGGTGTGTTGACTAAAAGTGTTCTTT